TACTGCTGCTGGCTTAATGTATGTTATTAAACAGGACTTTTTAACTCCCAGTGTGTTTAAATGCATAAAAAGTTACGCTGATAAATCGGTGCTTCCTTATTAGTGTAAAAAGGTGTAATGATTTTAAGAACTCTTCAAACTCGTTGTTTGTTGCGTGGGCTCACGTGCGTTTGTTACTTGTAAAAAAAACATTCTTCACGTACCCATCCTTCGTAGGGTATTGCAATGAAAAACTTAATTCTGTACGTTGCCTCTTTCGTGCTATTGTTGTGTTATGCTTTTGGCTTGCATGGGACAAGTCCGTTATCCCCGCTTGATGATGTGTGTGCACGTGTATATAATGATACAGTATTTATTGTGCGAGCGGCAGTGTAGTGGTTAGCGCGCTGCGCTACGAACCCGGGGACCCGAGCTCGATTCCTGCTCATGGCCAACATCGGTGACGATTATCTGAACCTGTCCTGGGCCTCCCCTAGGTCGACTCGGCCTCAAAAGAGTACCTAGTGCGGTGTGTAAACCTCGCCACTGGTGAGACAAAGGCGGCCGGGGTGGTGCTGGCCATCCACCCACCCCCCCCTTGTGTGCTGTGCCTGCCTTCATAGGTTCTCGCTAACAGCACTTTCTCCTACAGTCTCTGAAGGCTATACGGGGGTCTTGGTCTTTGTGTGTGTGTGTGTGGGCGGTGAAGATGCTGGAGGAGAATTGAATGAGTGATGGGCAAAGATGTGTCCTTGATGTACAGTACAGCAATACGTCTGGCGCATTGATTGCAGGTTTTACGCGTTCCAAAAAAGACATTTCCCGTCAAAGAAGACGTATCGAAATTTGTTTCACCTTGAACACTTAAATAAACTCGCATTTATTAAATTATGTGTGTGGGGGGGGGGGGTACAGTAATGTGCACGCCGCTGCGAAAATGAACCTCTAGACGTTGTCCATTGCTGGCAACGGCTCGCGTCCGTGGCGAGTGATGTCTCAATCTGTGCTGGACCCCACACACTTTAACCCAGGGGTCGGGAACCTTTTTGACTGGGAGAGCCATAAAAGCCCAATTTTTCTTAATATATTTCATTGAGAGCCATATAGTATTTTTAACGTATAATAAATTAAATATGTCTTACTTTTAATGCGACTTCTGGTCACGGGACCCGTGACCCGAGAAATTTTATCTTCAAAACTAATTTCTGTTTACTTTAAAATGACACAGTATTATTAAGCAATATCAGAAGTATTTTAAAATCAGTTCCAAACTCATTTTATTTTTATTTTATTATTATTTTTTTCAACTCAAATTTGTCTGGGAGCCATATGCCGTCACCGGAAGAGCCATATATGGCTCGCGAGCCATAGGTTCCCGACCGCTGCTTTAACCCATTCAGTCATACCAGCGCTGCGGTGAAGTATAGTCAAAAAAACTTGCGACTAAAATAAAGTCCTTATTATTTTCATATATGAAATGTTTGGCTATGTATGTATGTTGAACTTCTTCTTTCGCACGTACTTGGCCAATCGTGCTAATCGGAGGTATGCTGGAGCATTTAGATTACGACTTGTTTGATTTTTTTAAATCGGGTAAAAATGGAAGCGTGGGGAAATTTAGCCGTGCGTGTTTTTACGAGAAGGAGATAATTTCAACAATAGTTTTTTTTCTTGGCTCCCTTCAATAAAATTCCGTAAAACGATGCGAAGAAGGAAGACGCTTGCCAATTGCCACTACGCACACCGCAGAGGCTGCGAAATATCAGCAAAAGCCCACGGCTTGGCTGAAAGTGTAAATAAAATGTAGTTTAGAGCCACTTTTGACCGCATGAATTCCTGTTATTGCAGACTTTCAAAGTGGCTATTGTTATTAACATGGACATTTGATTAACAGAATACAAACAAAATACCCCCCCCCCCTTTTCTCTTGGCGGTCACGGGTGAAACCATCTGCCAAAACGGGACACGTGATTGGTGCTTTTTTCTGGCCATTAGTTTGAATCAATGCACCGACTACAAGTTGAGTATTCATATCACTTACATGTCAGAATTAATGTTAAGTGCACACTGCATATTGATTCGTGCACTTTAAATATTTATACAACCATAAATCCATGGCACTTACGGAATATTTTTTTTAAATATCCTAATCCAGTTTACGTTTGATAACAGCACAAGGATACACAGTGGCGCACAGCTCACCCTCAATGTGATATGCTTAGTGTTGTGGTTTGCTTTGTAATAGCTAAACCTCCGAGATGATATAGCATTTGTGACCAAAATCGCCCCATAATGCAAAGTCACATACTCATCTGTAAGACATTAAAAGATATATGTTTAGCCTTTGCATTTGCACAACAAAGATGAGTTAAATGTTACATAAAAAATGTGTTGCTCATTGACAATAAAAATCGATCATGACGACGTTCTATGGCTTTAACCCATCAAGGTTATGAGTAGCATTGATGAAAATTATAACCACGTGTGAAATCATTCATTATTCAACTACCAAGAACCCCATTTAGACTAACATTTTAATGAATAGCGACCGAGGGTTGCATAAGCAGGGTTATTAAGAGTGCAAGTTAAATTCATCTCTTGTTTTAAATCCGGTAAGCGCATAAAAACAATCAGCTAATCACTTGCAAAAAAAGCATTGACAAAGCATAACACGAGTTATAATCAAATGAGGTAGATGCAACGATCGGAAGCACTCAGATTTTCTAAGCAAAGTATCCAGTTCAGGGGAGATGGAGAGGAGACGTTCCGGTCTCTCGCCAAGTCGCACTCGGCTCACGTTCTAATTTAGATGCCACAATGGTTCGGGTTGGAACAAATGGCTCTGCGTGTCGTGCCGGGCAATTCCTGCAGGAATCGTATTCCGAGCGGATGATTTCACCAGGAATCGCGTAGTCTTAAGATCAGTTTAACACGTAGGCTTTCGCGACCAATGCTATTCATAATCAACGTTTTTGGGTTTAGATCGCGTTATTTATAAATGTGTCGTAACCCTCCACCACCCGACACGGCCAATCAGTAAAAAAGTGTCACGTTTACAAAAGACAAATAGTTCACTGCTTTAGCCCACCGGTGTGTTGAAGCCACAACATTTACAATTTGAGTGGCTTCAACACACCGGTGGGCTAAAGCAGTGAACTAATTGTCTTTTGTCAACGTGACACTTTTTTACTGATTGGCCGTGTCGGGTGGTGGAGGGTTACGACACATTTATAAATAACGCGATCTAAACCCAAAAACGTTGATTATGAGTCTTAAGATCGTTTGCTGCCTCCGACGTTAAAATCTTGCATTCACTTCAGTGGCACACTAACATGGGTAGCATCCCATCTAGTGGTGATCCTCAGAATCGCCACTAGAATTCTGTTGATTTGAATTAATGGCAAATTACGTGGATGGTTTTCTTGGTGATGAAAATAGGGGTCACGCCCACTTCAATGGTGAATTCTGCAGCATCATTGAAATGAATGGCATACTTTTGACAGTCAAAAAATATTATCCAATAGAATCCTATTAATTTGAATGGAACGTCTGACATCCATCAGTCTTACTTTAACCCCCATTGATTAGTATGGCACTTCCCTGATATACATTCACTGCAAGTTGCTTCTGGATAAAAAAACTTCAAGAGGGGGTGGCCAAGTAATGTTATTCGTGTGTCAAAGCTGCTCAAGAAAGTAAGCTGAAGTGATTCCATCCTGTTGTACATGCATAAGCAGTATTCCACAGTGTTACAGCAATGACATGTATATGTTAATGACCTCAACATTTAAGCATATTTAATCAAGTCCTTTTTACAATGAAAATGAAACTGGCTTGTCACGATGAGTTTTGAATACATTACTGGCGAGTTCTATTTAAGTTCGCAGAGTTTTGAAGAGAGACTTTCGTGCTATAATACGCTGCGTTCTATTCCGGCTCAGCCTGTCCATGATGCTAACAAAAAGCCATGGGTATGTAAACAAAATAGTTGGTTAAGTTTTTTGTTTTTACATATAGCCTAGTTATAACTGTCTTTATTACCTGGTAGATGTAAATACTGTCCTGCTAAGTTGTACGTAGGTAGTCGTATGCTACTTGCAATCGGAAGTTTGCGAGTTCAAAGCCTGGTCAGGGGTTGACTCGGCACTTCATTCCTCTGGAGATGGTAAACTGAGTACGGTTAATTTTGATATAACACGAAGGCTTTCACGACTAATATCATCCATAATACAGGGTTTTTTTGGTTAGATCGCGTAAATATATAAATGTGTCGTTAAACCCGCCACCACCTGACACAGCTAATTAGTAAGGTTTGTCACGTAAACAGAACATGCCAATTCGTTACTAGTACAGCACACCGGTGTGTTGGAGAGCAAAGTCCCTACTTAGTGCAAGAAGAGCTTACAAGTGATGTCATCACATCTACCCCTCTACTTAAGGAACAAAACAGGAGGGATTTCTCCACAAATCTGGCTGTCGCCTGATGAAGCTAAATTTTGTGGCTTTGCTCCCCAACACACTGGTGTGCTGTACTTGTAAAAACATTGACATGTTCTGTTTACGTGACAAACCTCGCTAATTGGCTGTGTAGGGTGGTGGCGGGTTTAATGACACATTTATGTATCACTCGATCTAACCCAAAAAAAACCTGTCTTATGGAAGGTTAATTTGTTTGTGATGTCAGGAATCTCATGCAACAAAAAAATAAGTTTACTAACCTCAACCAAGTGGCACTGTCCAGTGTAGAAGTGGGCTTCGATAGAGAAGTCAACGGAGGATCATCCTTATGGACAAGACTCGGGACAGAATGGCCACCAAATGAAGAACACACCGTAGAGGATGACCACCAGTGGCATCGAAGGACAGTGAGGCATCCGCGGTCACATTTACGATCATGTCTGCTTCCCGTACCAATGATCCAAGCTTGTGTCTTTCCTGACGATGCTCGTCATTTCGAAAATGTGCCTGCTTTGAAAGGGCTCTCGCTGACGGTGTTGCCCTCGCTTACACGTGTGCCGCAGGGGCCTTTATCAGGCATGGCTAGCGGGGTTGGGGCCGGCGCCAGCACGGGCGAGGAAGCCGCTTTCGACAAGAAGGCGCCCGAGATGGCAGACGGCGCAGCGCCCAGCCCGGCACACTCCAACGCCACCGGAAACGGCAAGGAGGAGAAGGTGGGTGTTTCACGCTGTCTTGCACCTTTTTTTAAAGAACGTCTTAAATATTGCCGTTTGTTGCCCACCACTTGGCATTTTGGGGCTTTGCTCAGAAATAAATTCAAACAACAAAACGCTCTTTTTGTGTATGTGTGTGTGTGTTGGCGCACCAAGGCAGTATCCCGAGCTATCTGTCTGACATGCGTTTTAAGCTTCATTAATGATTAAACCTACTTTGAAAGGGCTTCCAGGACAAACCGTGTTACCACTAGTGATAGTGACATATCTTACAGTGACATATAAACCATTACGCAAGATGTGCAACAGTGGCTTCACTAGAGCATGCCTTAAATGCACTTTCAACTATTTTTCTTATTAATGAAGCTTCAAGCTCATGTCAAGACAACCCAGGACATAGAGAGTATAGGCACCTGCTAGGTACAAGCTGGCTTTTTGGGGCTGTATCTTACGTTAAATAATGTAATGTACCTAATAAGGTAAGACAAACGTCGGTGTCTCCATTCTTGCAATCGCAGCATGGTCATCATTTCTCTTGGTTGCCCCAAGTTAATAGCGGACACTTCACAAATTTACGTGGGGGGCCGAGTCTACTTCTTCTTTCGTATGGCAGTTTTGGGGATTACAACAGATTACAAATTGACGTCGAGATTTGATATCCATTCGACTGCTTCAGGAGTAGCCGCGTGGATTTGTTTCAGATCGCCGTTGAATGATCCGTTTGGGAGAGTTGTTGACGATATGTCGCACGGTCTGAGATGTCGGCACCACAGTCCCACTATCTTCCATGGAGGGTCCGGATCCTATTTAAAGGAGGGACCAGATCTTCCTCTGATAGATCAGATTCTGGTTGGAGGATTGTGGGGTCGCTGACAATGAATTTCTGCAGCAGGTCGGTTTTCTGCAGCAGGGCTTAGTCTCTCCATCTGACAACTTTCCTTAACTTCCCACAGGGTAGTGCTCACTGAGGGATGATGGGCTAAGTGAGCCACATAATGGAGTTTCAACTTGACATTTTCAGGCTGTCATTGGCAGTCTTAACCATTGCACTTAATCGATTATGTAAAGATGTCCAATTAAAGCTTCCTGTGAGCATAAATATTATGTAACGGTAAGACAAGTTGGCAGGGGTCGTCTGTGACGGAGCTGTCGATTGCTGCAGAGTGCCCAAGAGATGCCATTCACAGTGTAGCTGTCATTAAAACAACACTTGGTACACCTATTTTTGGGTCTTAATGTCGCTGGGAACCCACTGAGCTCCATGCTTGTAAATACAAGAGCATGTTATTCGAATGGTCCACTAATTTCTTAGATAATTTGAGAGATTTGAACCTTATTTGAAAATAATGTTTTTGTCTTCAGTCTCTTTAGCAAGGACGATGGACACGGGTAATGGCACTATGGTTATTATCCTGTCATGCTTCCAGTGAGAAACATTCGAAAAGCCCTCTCGTATTTTACCGTATGTACATGACATTTAACGCGAAACAAAACCTGCCAGCTTCAAACATTACTGCAGCATTACAGCGTCTACATGTTTTGGGACAGTGGGCCCCATTCAAAGCAGGGCCGTTAATCAGATTTAGCCATCCGTATATATATTTTTTTGCTCCAAGGCATTTTTAATCATTTTAATGATGATGATTCAGTTTTTTTTCACGTGCTTTTTCAACATTGATAAACACAGTTCTTAAATTTTAAGTCAACGCAGCAAATGGCTTGTATTTTCCGCCTTTGCCACTCTGCAGAGTGTTTGTCACAGTTGGCGAGGCGTTCTAATTAATCCTTGCTTGGCTTCACATATTTAACGGTGTTCTGTCATCGGCACAGTGTTTCGCCGAGGGACGACGCGAGCTTGGAAATCTGCCCTCTACAAGGTTTTCAAGGCGGCTGCTGCACTAAGCACTCTTGCATCATAGGCACACACTGTTAGTGTCATGGATTTATGCACCCGCGGGAGTTTTTGGTAGTTTTTTGGTGCGACCTGCGGGGACGCATGCCTGGAAAGCGCCGTGGAGGTGGCGTATGTTTGGAGGCGATTTGTCGTGTGGCCGTGCTCTCCTTTTAGCCCCCCTTGGCTTCTGTTTTGCATTGTTGTTGCGAAGAGCCAAATCGCTCGCATTCTTCTCTGTGTAAGCCTCGCCCGAAGAAGGCAGGCTGCATGGCGCACAATGCTATTTCTGTTTGCAGCGACATAGTTGTGTGTTGACTTCAGGCATGGGAGCTTTTGTTTTTATGAGAATGCTTTTTCTCGTACAAATCTAAAGGCATTTCTGCAGTCACACGCAGATAAATATTTGAAGCGTGAAAGAATCGTCGAGTGAAGCGATTCTTTTGTATTGAAGTTTATTTTTTTATTTGTGGGGCTCAACATCGTTTTTTGTCGTTGCCAAAAAAACATTACAGCTGGCTGGTTAAAGCCAAAGCTTAATTGTAACAATTCCTCACTTTGACCAAACCAGGTTTGCTTATGTTCTAAAAAAGAAATCGATTGTTCGCTCCAATTCCCATGTAATGTTGATTCATTATTGAAAACCTTGCAGCCACATGATATTTCACATGCACTTAATAATCAATTCTACAAATCATGAAAGACGTCAATTGTTTCATCCATAGGTATCGAGACGATAATTATAATCGCTTTAATTACAATAAATGTTGGGTAACTTTAAAAGAGCCAGACTGAAGCATCTGCAAGATTACAGTATTATGTTTCAATATTAATGGTTGCAATTGATTTATTTCACTTTCCATTCCCACTCTAATACATGCTTAGTTTTTTTACAAATCATTGTAATTCAAAACACGGTGTATTCTGCAACTGTCGGCGATGGCTGTGTGAGAGAGCAGGTGCTGGACGGGGAGAGGCTGTCAAAGGGAGACCAGGGATCGGCCAAGAGCACCCCGAGCAAGGGCGGCAAGTCCCCGGCACGCGGCTCGCGCAAGCAGCGCACGGTGCCCTGCTCTGTCAGCCTGCTTGACGGATCTGTGTTCCCATGCGACGTCGACGTAAGGATTTGCGACGGCGGTGTCACCCCCTGGCCCTCCGCGTGGCTCAGCGCTGTAAATGTCAATAGTGGGTCAGCTGTGGGGTCGTAAGCGGCGTCTGGCTGCTCGAGTCGTTTTTGAGTTTTGCCGCGTAGGAGTTTAATGGCACCATTCTTGTCGATAACCCTCCAACATCCTTCCCCCGCACCTCTGATTAGCACGGTTAGCTACGTAGTTTGCTAAATAAGTTGTACATACATCTATATGTTGACAAAGATTATTATTTGTGTATGCCAATATGTTGATCAAGTTTTGACCAATAAAGCACCTCTCCGAACTGTTCATAACTGACTTGAACATCGGCTTGCGACATTTCGCTCAAATTGCTATGAGCGTTATAAGGTAGAGTTCTTGAAAATCCATTTTTGCTTGACATGTGTTTTAGTTAGTAGCTGCAGCTCATTGTTCTTTCCTGGCTTGGAGTCGGTGGTGAACATTTTACGGCATACATTGTGTCCTCAATACCAGGATAAATTCAGGGGTGGGGCGTACCCCTGTATATTCCATTATAAAATGAACCTATCGTTTCTTTGTTCTTTTGGAATATTGTTTTTTTAAATTAATTTCATTAAAAGCCGCAGTCTCCCTGAAAAAAACCAAAACAGGGCGGTGATCATCTCTAATGATGGCTCTGAGCCATTGGTGAAAGTTCCCCACCGCAGTTGATTGATGATCATTGTAATTATTCATGTTGGTACCACTGTATTTATCTGGTCGTGCATGTTCCTTCCGTGCCATAGCTTATAGCTGGTGATTTTTCAATGTAATGAGTTCTAATATGTCAAATGTAATCTGGTCTGTAAGGCAATATGATAGCACTTTTCGATTTTCCTGTGGGTGGTGGTTGTTCTTTTTAGCTTCAGCCGGTGTGCGTTCTGTTTCGCTGTCCTTATTTTTGTGGAAAAAAAAGCAGTGGGGAAAGATAGATATAAAGTACAGTATAGATATGAAGGTTCGTGTTCTGATAACCATTGCATCAGCATTTCAAGTGGAACCACAAAATATATACAAGTTTGTAAACGTAAACATGTCCATTTGCACATTATTAATAAACAAATAAAACTGGAATTTGCAGTCGGTAGCATGTTTGGCCACTTTGCTGACCACGCGTGTATTTAATGGTTTCATACATTTGTTTTTCAAGTGGCGTGGTGACGCACTGCTATGAATGAGATTAACCGAGTTTGTTTACCAACATGGCTAACGTTTGAGGTGAATTATATCTGCATCGGTCCTGACTCCGCAATGACAAGCCTGGTGAAGTATCGTCAAAACGGCAACAGTGACCAACATGGCATGGGGGGGGGGGGGGGGGGGAGGCCTTACATTTAGCAGTGGATAGACGAAGAGCTGTAAATTGTAATTACAATTTGTAAGAATGAGGCTCAAAATAATCTTTATGCACAACACTATCTCGCAATTCAGAAATGTGTCGCTCGTAGTTTGAGGTGGACATTCGTAATATGATTTTGTGTCTTATCCTGCTGGTTAATATTTTAAGCACGGTATTTTTTGTGAAGCATGCAGACTAGCGTTTTGATTTTTGTAAGCCATGTTTCAGCAATTGGGTGTAGTGTGCATTGTACACTTTCCATTTATCTTTATCTGTGGAAAAATAAATTCGTTGTGGTTGCCGTACAATTAAATAGATTTTCGAATGTTGAAAAGCCACAAGATTAGTGTGTGGTTTAAGAAATGAATTGGGTATTGTGAAGCCACGCTCCCTTGATAAGCCATGAAATCGCTCACAATACTGACCTTTGTATTCCCCAGTCTTGAGCGAATAAATTATTTAAAAATGCGAATGAATTGTCAATTACAGTAGCTCTTCTAAAGCCTCTTTTTAGCCACTAGTGCCTACCTTCTGGATATGGAAAAACACATCTTGGTCTCTGTGTATATTGCAGATGGGATTCGATGCAGGCAAATAGAACTAATAAAATAAATCGGACTAAACCATAGCTCCCTGTGAATTTGCAATTGCTGGAGAGGCCTTATTTATATTTAAAGGCCTTCCTTTTTGATGCCCTTTATGGAAATTGGCCACGCCGACCATAACTCTCAACTCGATCACAATTCTGTGCGGAGGGAAATATTGTCAAAGGGGTGTTGAAAATGCGTGAGTTACTGCACTTGTGTTTTAAAGTGCAAACTGTGCCTTTCGAAGCTGTGGCCGGCTGTGCTGTGGCACCTGTCGCTTTGCTGCTTTCCAGGTTTATTTGTAAAACTTTATAAACCGTTATTATAAATGTAAATAAGCCTTTGTTGTTTTAGTTGGTGTGAAGTATTTGGCTGCTATAAATTTCCACTGTAAGCCACTTAATCAAGCTATCATTTGTGGCCAGATCACTTCTGAAAAAGGGCTATATAGCACAAGTGGGCCTTACCTGGTAAAAAAAAATTAAGTTTAGTTCAGCTACTTTGCCAGCTGCTTATGTAAGTGGCCACTTGGCTAGCATTGAACAGGTCACGTCTTATTTTAGCCAATGACCATATGTTTCCATGATAACCATTTTTTTACACGTGTGTTTTTGGGACAGCTATGATTTAAGGAGTGATGGGAATTTTAATTTCACCACGTGTCATTAAACATTGTAGACAGCTTCATATGATGATGAGAATGAAATGATGTAAGTTTCATCTTCTTGGTTCTTTCGGTAAAGTCACGTAGAATGGAAATAATAACATAATAAAAATAAAACATAATAAAATAATTATCACGACGTTTCGGCCACAACGCAAGCAGTCGTCCTCAGGTGAAGAACAGGTCTGTCGATAAGACAGAGTCTGAATGACACGTCCTGGGCTTGGAGCGTCTATTTAAGCTGGGAGGGAGGAGGAAGAGGGCCTTGACAAAGTAATTTGCATATTCAAATCGAAATGTGATGTAAGTTTGTTGTTGATGATTATGTGGATATATTTTGTTCCACAGAAACAAGCGAAAGGGCAGGTCCTATTTGACCTTGTGTGCGAGCACCTCAACCTGCTGGAAAAGGATTACTTTGGACTCAACTACCGTGACAATACAGAGCAAAAGGTACGGGACAGTGGGCATAGTAGCCTTGGAGTGTATTTTCTAACGCTGATTCGTCATCCTCCATTGTTTTTCATGTTTGCACTAATTGTAATAAGCATAGCAATTGGAAAGTTGTCGGTCCATCAGAGGGTGCCGTGGTGCTGAGATGTTAACTACCTTGCCTGGTATACAGGAGGTCGTGGATTCGATCCCGACCCTGATACATGTTTATTTGGAGTTTGCATGTCCTCCCTGTGGTCACGTGGATTTTTATCCGGGTTTTCCGGTTTTTCTTTCCACATTCAAAAACATGCGTTTTAGAGTTTGGCTGCTAGAATTTTACATACGTGAAGCCATTTTATTGAGCTATCATTGGCGGCCAGGTCGCGTCTGAAAAAGAGCTCAATGGGCTTACTTTGTAAAATAAAAATTGTTTAGTTTTTAAATACATTTTTTTTAGTTAGAATCAATACTCAATCAATGTTACTTATTAACCAATCTGAGTCCATTGAGACTGCTATGAAGAATGGTCAATGCCTGAAACGGTATCTATTTGGTATATTCCTTTTAAGGCCACAGTCTTATGAATGCGAGTTTTTTGTTGGTTGTTTGTGCTTATGCACCACTGCCAATGCAGCATAACCAAATATATATTTTTTTACATTAGACTACAGGTTATTTGTAAAGGAGACCTTTTTTTTACTCTTCAGCATCAAATGCCATGATCAGTCCACTGCTGGCAGAAGGCCTCCATGAGCATTAACATCCTCTCACAGTCCTGTAATGTAACAAAGTGGTGGTTGTAGTATTGCACGTATAATATTAGCATAGTATTTGTGTCTGCTGGCATTTGGCCTTGGTCCTGCAGTACTTATCTGATCAATATTTTCACTATTTAGCATAGCATTGCAGTAATCGTTGTGGCGGTTGTAATTTCAGAGATGATATAACCAACGCCGCATGTCTGTGTTAGCAGTTTCATGAGTGGTTGTTTGTGGAAGCTTTAAATTGCACAGAACTGTGACTGGCTGTATTGGCATTCAGGATGTTTGTAATTGTATACATTTGGCTAAGAGTAGAATCCCTGCCGCTTAACAATTCGAAGTTAGAGCCTTCTCTGGGAATGAGTGTCGCTGACCAATTAATGCCCTCATCCTTGAGCCCGGTGTTTCACAGCCCTGGGTTCACCGTTAATGTTCACCGTTTGTGTTTACTGTTCGTGTTCAGCACGACTTGTTATTCATATCCATCAGTGTTCTTGCACGTGACCTTGCTTGGCTCACACCCACAAGAGGAAACGGAGCCTCTCCGTTTGTGTAGGAGGGGGGAAATAACGATCTTGCAGGAGGGGGAAGCTGCCACCCGCGTAGTTGGGTTTTTGCGACAACTTTGCTGCGGTTTGCATTCAGGCCATCTGCAATCTAAAAAAAACTCCTCCTTCACTTCCTGGAAAATTTTGATTTCTAAAGTTTCGCAGCCCATGTCGGTTTCTATATGCTAGAGTGTTTGGAAACAATATTTGCTGATTATGAACAAAACCCTCATTGTTTTGGAAAAAAATTGCTTGCGTTATATTATTAATTTCAACGCGTATCACGCACAGTATTTGGTCCATGAGCTTGCTTTTTTAATAGCCCTTATTAGGCAATGGTGTAATGTTGAACATATGCCATCGTGGCATTTGTATTTTGTTCCTTTTAAAGATGTTTGGGCAAGTGCATGCATGTTGTGATCTTTTGAAAAAGTAAAAATAAAGCATCGTCAAATCTGATTTGGCAGTTGATGTTACATTTTAAATTGGGTTTGTGATCTCGCTTTTGACAGATTATTAAATGAATAGGTGATCCATGACATCCTTTTGTCAATCCACTGCTGGATGAAGGTGTCCCCATGCCATGTTGGTCAATGGGGTTTTTGACAAGTTCACGTTAGCCAATGCTGGTTTGTGAAATCTGAGGCCCATACTTGGTACAGATATCACTTGTCACTGCTATGTATGTCGGAAAATCTAATTTGGGTTATGGGTTTATGATGCAGTGCGCTAACCACTGCACCACCACTCTGCCATTATTGTGGGGGAGATGTTAACTACCTCGCCTGGTGTACAGGAGGTTGTGGGTTCGATCCCGACTTTGACGCTTGTATATTTGGAGTTTGCATGTTCTCCCCCGTGGTCGCATGGATTTTTCTCCAGGTCCTCCGGTTTTTCCCACCACATTTAGACTCAACACCACGCGTTTAGAGTATTTGACTGCTATACATTTCCACATGATAAGCCATTTCGTTGAGCGATCATTTGTGGCCAGATCACTTCTAAAAAACGATATAGAGGTCAGTGGGCCTCATCTGGTAAAAAAAATCATTGTACTAGGATAATTTGTAGACCTTTGTTTAATTTGTTTCGTTGGCGCGATTCTAACATGTCTGTGGTTTCATTTGTAACTCATTAGGAGGGACCCTGTCTTGTGATATTTCAGAATTGGCTGGATCCAAACAAGGAGATTAAAAGGCAGGTGCGAGGTAAGTGGATAATATGGACGCACATTTTTGCTTGTGAGAGAATCAACCCATTAACTTATTTCAGCCACACTCCCGTCTAATCGTCCAAAAATGCCAGAATTTCCACAATACCCACATCTCGGTGTGCCGAACAAGTGCAGCTTAATTGCACCGCTATGTCACCTGTAAATAAATAGGTAATTGACGTGCGAATATTACCAGGCAGATGGGTGGAATTGTAAGCAACCAAACGCCTTTGAACTTCGATTAACTGAACATTTTAACAATGCAATGGTCTTGAGACCCTACATTAATGTAATTGCTTCAGCCTTGTGCTGCCACTTTATAAAATGTCTTCGCTGCTGCAGTTGTCTAATTACGAAATTAATTCGGGTTAATGATAGTGTTTCTTCATTGTTATTTGCCACTTTTGTTAGGAACATCACATATTAAGGCTTGTCCCGTTTGAATTATCCTTCGTGGGTAAAGCATTGCGCTTATTGTAAATAAAATATATAGAATTGCTAATATGCGCGTGAGTGACAGCCGTTTTGAAGCGAATATTGTAAGCAGTAGGAAAGGTTTTGTGGCTCATTCACAGTCAGGGCGACTGTGACGTCAACTCGGACATAAACAAGTTAATTTAAAATGAGAGGTGATCATTTCCAATCCAAAGCAAGTCTCCTATTTCTGGTCCAATCATTCTAAACTTCAGGTCAGCATAAAGCATCTTGGTGGTGAAGGTCATGCAGGCCTCGCCATGCCTTCACCATCCCTCATGAACCTGGATGTTGTGATCCACGTGATTTTATCGCTCCATACCCAGAGTATTCAGTTGTTAAAACTAGTGCTGAAACAATGCATCAATTAATTCGATTTAATATCTGTTCCTAAGCTTGTGATACAAACGTTGAATCGCTGATGTAAGTCCATGTGACCCCTCCAGCCGCTAGAGGTTGCTACATTCCCAACAATGTTTAAATTAGTTTTTTTTTTTCAAATTAAATTGCAACCTTAAATCGCGACAATTAATTTCCTAACGAGTAGGGTGAATCGTGACACTAAAACAGTGGTGGTGTTTGAGTAGCTTGCCATTATGTTTCTAAAAGGACATAATTTGAGTAAAATGGGGCAAATGTGGATTATTCGCGTACGTGTGAAGTGTGAATTGGAATGAGCTTCTTACAAAGGCAACAATTTCCATATCCAATGTAAATGTGTTTTCGTAACAGTGTAGACATGAAGTGTTTGCAAACCAGACGTCTTGACTCACTCACTCGCACGGTGTCGTGTTAAAATAATGTCGCTTGTACGTGTCCTGTAATGCATTATTATCTTTCATTTCCCACTGTTTCCCAAATGGGGTTTCATTTCTCCTAGCTGCAGGCTCCAGACTCTGGCATAATTTTTTTTCAAATTTACAATTTCTCAATAATGCAATCGCGTAAGAACACGCTCTCATGAGAGGTGAATTTGTTTTTACTGTGGCGGTTTCGTGAGCCGTAGTGAGGTTTTTGGTAATTGAGTTTTGTGTTATGTGCACAGCACCTTTTGCGGCATTGCTGAAAACGGTGTTAATAAATGTCAGTCGGGGAAACGACTAACAAATAGTACGGCTGTCCATTTTGGTTAATTGCTTTAATTAAGCTTAGACATTTATCTATGTTTTATTGTGATAATCGGTGAACATTTTTAATTATTAAATTGCTCATGTGCTGTAAACACAATGTGAGAAGTGATTTCAAAAAAATTAAAAGCCTGTTTTTGGCATTAGTGAGAGAGCGGCACAGCGTTAGGTGTGGAGATCACTCGCCGACCAGACTCTAGCCCTACCTATGGCGAAACCAGCCGACAAGACTGTTTCCTTAATCATCTCGCAACATCACAAATCATCAATGTCACACTTATGCGAGAGCAAATGAGACAAAAGTCAAACATAATCATTCAATTTGGCCTACCAGACCTTTTACACGAGCAGTGTCTCCTCGCCTTGACCATGCGAGCCTTACTCCCGACTCTAACTCCCGACTCTAACTCCCGACTCTAACTCCCGACTCTAACTCCCGACTCTAACTCCCGACTCTAACTCCCGACTCTAACTCCCGACTCTAACTCCCGACTCTAACTCCCGACTCTAACTCCCGACTCTAACTCCCGACTCTAACTCCCGACTCTAACTCCCGACTCTAACTCCCGACTCTAACTCCCGACTCTAACTCCCGACTCTAACTCCCGACTCTAACTCCCGACTCTAACTCCCGACTCTAACTCCCGACTCTAACTCCCGACTCTAACTCCCGACTCTAACTCCCGACTCTAACTCCCGACTCTAACTCCCGACTCTAACTCCCGACTCTAACTCCCGACTCTAACTCCCGACTCTAACTCCCGACTCTAACTCCCGACTCTAACTCCCGACTCTAACTCCCGACTCTAACTCCCGACTCTAACTCCCGACTCTAGCTGAATGAGCCAGTCAGGTTCGCTAGTGTAAGCTCTGCACCCGATTTTAGTTTTGTCATCCGAACAACAATAGCGAGACCGCTCTGAGCACAGATGCCCACCACTCACCCTTTCCCTTGCCATAACCAAACGAGCCAATCGGTGCCTAGATGGCTCAAACTTTCAAGGTGCATATTGCCCTATGACTTCGCTGGATGGAGGACCGAGAGCTGTGAGCACCGCAGACGAAGATGCTGTCTGTGGTTTTGCTTGGCCAAGTATGCATACTGTAGAAGGGGCCAGGGTACCAGCACCTTGAGTACTATCCCAAACCATAATCCACCCTTGCTGCTGAGCCCAACCACCGTTAATTTGTTTGCTTTTCACTGTGTTGGTGCTTTTAGCACCATATCGGAATTGTCAATGATAGTTTGACATGCAGTCGGTTACGGTTGTGACTCTGATGCTTTGCACCACAGCAGGAGCCTGGACGTTCATCTTTAACACCAAGTTCTACCCTCCAGACCCTGCACAGCTGACTGAGGATATCACCAGGTAAGCTCACATGCTCATCAGTGCCGAGTGAAATGCCACCGCAGTGGATGAATGGGAACCGGTCACAAAAGATTAACATTTGTAAGGCTCTACTCTGAATCGTAAGCAAAATTATTGTAAGGCTCACAAATGTGTTCCTATGCCCCTGCTTTGACATGGCTATCTGGTATACAGGCAGTGTAAATGCACTGGGGCCCACGGGTCAGAGGGGCTAGGGCAAGGAAGAGTGGTGGGGATGGCATACGAGGCAGGGGTTCTCCATTTATTTCCTTTCATCTGGGTCCATGCCAGCCAACGATGCTATGCCTCTGTTCCCACACATGTGTTTGACGTGTACTTAGCCTGTGAAATGTCATCCGCCCACCCCCTCCTCCCCCAGGTACTATATTTGCCTGCAGTTGCGCGAGGACGTGGCGAGCGGGCGGCTGCCCTGCTCGTTCGTCACGCACGCCGTGCTGGGCTCGTACGCGCTGCAGGCGGAGCTGGGCGACCACGAGCCGGACGAGCACGGCCCCGGCTACGCGTCCGAGTTCCGCTTCGCGCCCAACCAGACGCCCGAGCTGGAGGACAAGGTCGTGGAGCTGCACAAGACGCACAGGTGTGTTGCCGGCGCGTCTACATGCCCGCTGTCGTAGCAGAAGCTCTGGTGGCGGTAGCATGAACGGTCGAGTTGGCAGCAGAAGCGGCATCAGCTGTTATCGGCAGTAGGGGCAGCAGCAGCACTTGTAGTCGTTGCAAAAGCAGGAGTGTGGTAACAACGGTACCAGTGTGCCAACATCTCCGCTACGATCACTATGCACCAAATCGTCAAGGTTTTTGTGTTGGCCATTTTATCAATTTAAGAACCTAGGCTTATTGCCATAAAGTGTACAACTGTCAACACGATCCCTACCTTTGCAGTCTGTTATCATCAGCCATGATCAATCCTCTGGTGCATGAAGACCTCCATAAGCCATCGCCATCTCTAATGTCACCGCCATCATCTGATTTTCCCCTCTGCTGTGTGTCACAGGAACATGACTCCTGCAGAAGCTGACCAGCACTTTCTGGAGAATGCTAAGAAGCTGTCTATGTATGGGGTGGATCTGCACCATGCCCGGGTGAGTGAGCAGCTCCTGTGAAGTCTGCTTCATTGGGAATGGTGTCCCTGCTTATTGTTGTAATGATCCCTTTGTGCTGCATATACATCGGACGTTGTTGTTGTTGCCAATGAAGCCATCAGATGGCCATCTTGACAAGTTCACCTTGGAGGTGAGAGCATTGAAATGTTTTTTAAAGGCTCGTCAGTAAAAATCAACAGAGATTCAACACCAAATGCGGAACACTCAGGAACTCGTGATATTTTTTATAGTAGGCTACTTTGTGTTGGCTTCCTGTTTCAAATGCCAAATTTAGAAATTGCCCACCACTAAACTAAGAAGTTAAATTCATACTTGCGTAGTTCCGTAGACATTTCATAGACAATGGTTATTGTACTCCATCTGATCGGCACTTGTGTAAATAGAGAACATTTACTTGTTAAATACTGCACGGTTGTGAGTCAGAGTATGGTTTTTCAATGAGTCCTCAATTTAACAATGCAATATGGTCAGCAATAGCACCGCAAACTAGCCATGCACGCCACAACTCAAATGCATCCCAGTGCCAGGAGAGTGTTGGTAACCAGTTGTTTGATTGGGTCATTTCTGTTGGAGTTTAGCAAAGGATTTTACTCAATAAAATGGATGTTTGACTCAAGAGAATGAAAGCATTGGGTGACGGGCATGCCCCAAGTTTCACATCACCAACAAATGAATTGCCCAACACGTTGTACGTGACAGTGTTGGTTTGTCAGCATTGACATGTGAAGGAAGCTGCTGTCTGCTGGGCTTGTGCATCATCCGCTGTGGCTCATGCATTCCGCAAGATCCATTCAGTAGACTATGGCGATGATTATCCATTTATTGCATAGGTCAAATTATCTTGTTCTGCCCAGGAATGTTGGTGGCCTGTTAAGTTATGTTCAGTATATATGCTTGCTTACTGATTATGACATCAAAAGCCCTCCCAATGAGACCAATTAAGTGTGTATATATATTTGAATTGACCAGACAATAACTCTACTAGATGAATCAATTGTGTAAACAAAACAATTGTTGGAGCCACAGTCAATCTCCTGGATGCTATATTTTGGCTCGGCGAGTTTTGGAATGTCTAAAGCTACGTTTTACTCACAATATCGTTGTGACTTGGAGAAGCTGGGAATTTTTGTTTTATCCCCTTTAGCAGAATGCTTTTTTTAATGAAGTCTTTGTTAGGTTGATTGATTGCCTTGGAATGCATTAGGCATTAATTGTGATAGATGTTTACATGCATTTCCATGAGAATGGAGTGGGTTGTGCATTAACCAGACAGGGTGTCGTTAATGAAAGCAAAACAAAACCCTAAGCCTGCGGGATATTTAATGATGGTTGTAAATTGCATGCGCAATGTGTTCAGTGGCTCTGCATCATTGAGCATTGTGGTAATTAAGCGGAGCCCAGAGGAGGAAGTCGGGGGCAGGGTGCTTTGTTTTCCCATGCCATCCTTATCGAGTTTTGTTTGGCTTGTACAGTAAACACAAGTACATTTGTAGGGAATTAACGCGTATTATTATTGACATACGCCTTTCAATAGTGTAATTAGTTTGAGTCCAATTATGCGAATAGTCCCAACTCGGTGTTTGTTAAGAAGAGCAGTGATTTTTATCAAGCGTTATTAACTTCATCAGCTTTTCTCATTTCCCACTGCTGAAATAAACAAATTCAAATCCGTAAACTGCGAGCGAGCCCATCGCAACAGAAACATTGGCGCAGGCCGGAAAAACGAAGAGTTTCACCAACACGACAACGTGCACTGCGTGTGCACAATAACACACGGCCGCAATAATTGATGCACAGCCACCAGTTCCACCAAGGGAAAGGATTACAAAGCAGTTCTTCAGTAACTGGTGGTTTTGCGTTTGTTGGAACTTTGAGCTAAATGAGTGCTCCTCGACCACAGCGCGAGCGGCTCGCGTTTCAGGCAGTGGAGAGCAATATGTACAGGCAACTGTTTTTGAACAATGGCCCTTCTGCACAACCACTTTGAACGAAGTCTTTTAATATTTTATCCTTGGAACAGCCACTTTTGAGTTCCCACCGGGTTGTGGTCATGTCATCTAACCTATAAATGATACTGCTGATGACGGTGATGCTGTTGATGATGCCGCTTATTAGCATTATAATGACATGTGATTTCATTTTCCATTTTTCTGCCCTAAATGCGGATTCCGCAACGAGTAATTAACGACCAGATGCCTACATTTACCACCGTGTGCGACAGGACTCGGAGGGTTTGGACATCATGCTGGGCGTTTGCGCCAACGGGCTGCTCATCTACCGGGACCGCCTGCGCATAAACCGCTTTGCCTGGCCCAAGATCCTCAAGATCTCGTACAAACGCACCAACTTCTACATCAAGATCCGGCCGGGCGAGGTGCGACCAATATTATTCATAATAATTGGCTGTGTCGGGTAGTTGTGGTGGGTTAACCGACACTGATATTTACACGATTCGACCCAAAAGGAAACGTAATTATGGGTGTAGCCGCTGCATCTCTCTTTTTGTTGCTGCTGCTGCTGCGTAAATCCATGTTAATATTGAAACAAATTATAGGTAATGAAAGTTCTCGCCTCGAAGATTCTTTCTCCAATCATATTAATTTTATCCTTTGACATTGCGACCAGCAAATCCCCAGTCCTTTAAATGCCTGCCAGGCCACATCCCAATTCCTGAGGTTAACTCCTCAGGAGTGCTTGAACATGCACGTCCAGAGAAAAGAAGTTTGGTTGGCACTCTGCCTTTTTATAGCAGTGAAATGACGATGGTTGGAGAAGCATCTTCTTTGCGAGATCTTTCCTTACCCGTAATTGTTTACATATTCAGTCTAAATCCCAACGGCCATTATCGATGCAAAATTCAAATGCAGCCAGAGGGGGGCTTAAATAGCTATTTCGGATGTAACAGATTTCTCTGCGATTAAGTTTATTTTTCAATTACGTGATTTCTTTTTTTTCTCGAGGGCTGAGCAGTGGCATAGTGATTAGCACACTGCACGAGTAACCTGCCTGGCTAACAGCAGTAGCCAGTAATATCCAAACATTTTCCTGGCTTCCCCACTTTTACCCACCGGCACTGACCAGCCCGATCAAGTATGGCCAAACAACCCCCATGACGGACACTGCATGGGGGGAGGCCTTCTTCCAGTCTTGGTTTGCCAATGGACTAAACGTCCACATTTCGTTTGTACATTCACAAACGCTTTGGCATGACATTCGTACATTGGGTTGCAAATGTTATACACGGCAAGTATACTATGGATAGTGTTTAATATTGCAATACTTAAGTATATTCGTTTTTTCACCCTATGTCACCCGACTCCCTTACATCAATGTTGACATATTTGTTGAATTTACATGATGTGTTCCTTCAATGTGTAATTGTACGTGTTTCATGCAGTGTTTAAAAAACATACATTGCACGTCAACCGTCGTTCAGATATGTAAGAATATTCTGTTAAATTTTACTTTGCCGAAATGATGCACAAGGCACTTTACTAAAGTATTTTTCAATGTAATTAAAGTCTTAATTAGATTACATCTCTCATTAAAGTGTAATAGGTGAAGTCAATGCGAGCAGTCCCCCGTGAGACGTGTGCCAAGTGAGATGAATGATTTAAAACAAAGATTTAAATCTAGATTGAAAGCGAATTTTTCTAGATTTGCTTTTTGTTTTTAGTTTGTTTGTCCTTCCCCTGCACCTCCGATTAGCACGGTTGGCTGCGTACAGTGCGAAAGAAGTTAAACATAATTAACATTTTGGGAAGTGACAGATCTTTAGAGCAGAAAGGGCAGGTGTAAAGATTTACGTTGCTCATCGATGAAGTTGCTGAGTTTATCTTCTTGGTTCTTTCGGTAAAGTCACGTAGAATGGAAATAATAAAATAATAAAAATTAAACATAATAAAATAATTCTCACGACGTTTCGGCCCACAACGCAAGCAGCCGTCCTCAGGTGAAGAACGGACCTGTTCTTCACCTAAGGACGGCTGCTTGCGTTTTGGCCGAAACGTCGTGAGAATTATTTTATTATGTTTTATTTTTATTATTTCCAGAACAGGCCTGTTATTCACCTGAGGACGGCTGCTTGCGTTGTGGCCGAAACGTCGTGAGAATTATTTTATTGTTTTATTTTTATTATTTTATTATTTCCATTCTACGTTACTTTACCAAAAGAACCAAGAAGATGAATCCCTGCAGTCACGAAAGCTTTAAAACGAAAATTGCTGAGTTTATTTGTGCATGTACAACACTGCCGACGCATCGCCTTAACACTTGAATGGATTGGTGCCGTTTGTCATTCAGTTTGAACAGTTTGAGAGCACCATCGGATTTAAACTCCCAACGCACAGAGCTGCTAAACGGTTGTGGAAGACCTGCATTGAGCACCACGCTTTCTTCCGGTAAGAAGGAACACCAAAGTATTGCGTCAGGGAGCAGCTAATTTAGTGGTGAACAAATTGTTTCAATACATTTTGCATTGATTAACTCAGCAACTGCCCAATTGGGGTTGTAATCTTTTTTTACAAAACAACACATTTGTCAACACCGCTGTCTTCAAAGTAAAACTATGTGATTGGCAAAAATATAAAATATATTATTTTGCCGATTTATAAGTGTTCCTAAGAAAGGCAATGTTCTTGACAAACGTGGGTTTGTTGTTTATGCTTGTTCATTACTGCCAACGCAGTTTCGCCAACTAATTTGTGGTACTTATTTTAATGACCCCAATGAAATTAGGGAGCAAATGGGACACAATGCAAACAGACGCAAGAAAAACGTTACAAGCAAGAAGAAAAATAATAGATACAAATTTTATTTCAGCCCCCCGAATCATGACAATGAAGAGCAGCGGTGGAGTCCTAACGTGGTCAGTGGTCGGACACAAGCGCAGGGGGGTGGGGGGGGTGTAGTGAGCAATCGCTGGCATAGCTTGTGTTGAGATGGATCGCCAGCGGTTGCTCTCACGGGTCGTGTTGGACAGCGCCTGCCAACGTGTCTGATCAGTGCCCCTACTGCTGCTTCTGTTGCTGTGCGTCGCGCCCCCGGGCAGGTTGGTGTCGGCCGACCCCCAGCCCAAGTCGCGCATCTTCACGCTGGGCTCGCGCTTCCGCTACAGCGGCCGCACGCAGGCCGAGACGCGGCAGATGAGCGCCGCCATTGACCGCCCCGCGCCCGCGTTCCAGCGCTCGTCGAGCAAACGAAAGACGAGCACGCGCAGCCTGGACCGCGGTACGTATGTATGTTGAACTTCTTTAGCATCGTACGTAGCCAACCGTGCTAATCGGAGGTGCGGGGGAAGGCTCTCCTTTCCCTCGCGGCCGCCACTCGATTGGCATTCGTCATCTTCGTCGTCGCCGTTTTCTATCTGCTGCTGAATGAAAGCTGCTAATTATGTACCACCTCAAGTCGGCTAGCGACCTGGAAAATTGGGAAATGAAAAGAACGTGTGTGTTTATTTTGATGCAGCTAGTTAAAATTGTTTTTTTGTTGTTTATCGCTATGTCTTGTCAACCATCCCACTGGCACCACCTAGCGTGCGAGTCGCATGCGGTGACAAACGAACGGAAGAAAGAGCGCTATTATTGGAGGTGTCACTGTGTCGATGGTCGTGTTTCCACAGCACCCATGGTGAGCGACCACGAAAAGGTGTCACTGGACGGCGCAGCCGCTCGCGATGTGCAGCCGCCCTCCGTAGACTCCAACGGTGCCGCGAAGGTGGAGGCCGTCCCCAAGGCCTCTGCGGAACCCCACGAGGCCCCCCCCTCCGCCGTCGACAAACAGCGGCGGCAAGGTGATGACGGGGCGAGGGCCGCTAAGGTTCCCAGCGGCAGCAGCAAGGGGGGCGGCTTGGTGGCTATGGCAACACCCGAGGATGGAACCACGCCCAACGACCAGACGAGCACGGAGGGGGAGGGGGAGAAAGCCGGCAGCAGCCAGACGCCCCCCACGGGGAGAGAGGTGTGTGGAAAGCTACTGGGGTTGCTCCAACCCGCATCACACACCGTTTGCCCTGCTGCATTTGTTCTTTGTGTTGTGATTTTTATTTATTGTTCGAGAGTGATTTTTACGCTCTGTTGATTGCAACATTGTAGTTGTCATGATTGTGCTCTTTTCTTTTTTGTAATAATGATGACATATCTTAATAGTAATCAAGGTCAAGAGGTCATTATGGCGAATGATGCGATCTCACCACATCTTGCCATCACTTGTTTTTTTCTGCTTTATTTTATCCATTTTTGCCAAGTGTTATGTTCGAGGATAACCTTGTGGGGCCATAAGAATGTGGAATTTCCACCACTGCCTCAAGGCTGTACATATGACAAATATCACCCCGAAATTGTGTGAACAGGCTAAACGCATTGTCTTTTTAAATATATATATAATTTATGTTATGACAAGATTCATATCACCCTGTACAAAAAAACAATTTGAATCCTAACCTCGTTAGCGGGTTCTAACCTAGTTAGAAATGTAGACTATAACTGCTTGGCTGTGATGGACTCGAAACTAAAGAAATAATTATTTATTTTCTTTTAAATGATAATATCCATCATCATGTCTCCCGTCCAACCTAATAATAATGATGGACTGCTACAATGTTGATCGCCAGTAGTTTATTCACAACTCGTACGTCCTTCATTGGCAGTTACAATGCATATTTGGTTAGCCTGCAACCATCTTTACACGAAGAGATACACTGGATGGTCTAAAACCAACAGAGACTTAATGACTAAACTCGCCTAATGTTAATTGACAAGTCGAGTAATAGTCTATCTGGCCATTCTATCTGGCCTCTTTTAATGGTCGCTAGAGTGAGCTGAAAATGACAGTTCTCAAACACTTAGCAGTCACACTTTAAACAGTGGGAGCCACACCATTGAATAATGAATTGCTCACGTGGTGATGGTCTTGAGATGCGGTTGCTCTCATGTCATTTTCAATAACGTCAATGGACTGTAGCTGATGGGGATTTAAAAGCGAAGGAATTGCTAATTTACTGTGTGTTTGAGCAGAATAATAGTTTGATTGACTTCAGCGTTTAAGTTCTGACATTCTCTCCACTCTGCAAAGCATTTGGTTGGCAGGATTAGACCCCAAGCTGAAACGAGCACTAAGAATGCTGCACACACTCGCGGTTACTTTTCATTCTTTGGTGCGGCCCTGGGACCTTTTTATAATGCGATTTGCACGTCTGTTTACACTCCATATTTATTTGCAGATTGTTATCCTTCAGAAATGTTTTAAGTGGCCGAGGTGGATTTGGAGCACTGATGCATGTGTCAGGTTACTGAGCCTGTGCCTCAGATCGCAGAGTTAAAACTTAGCAGGGGGGGGGGGGGGGGGGGGGGGGGGGGGGGGGCAAAAACAAACCTCGTGCTCGTGGGCATCGACTTTCATGACCACCTTGGCCCGCACCGCAATCGGCGGTATGTCCAGCTAGCATGGCACACGGCAGTGCAGTCCATCACCATTTCCCAACCATAACCACCGCCCTCAATAAAAGAACACCACCGCCATTAACACAATCAACAACGTCACCACCGGTGGCACAACTGTTGTTAATTAATGGAAAAGGCGCACGCATACAAACACTATTAACACCATCACCAGCACGGTCACAACCAACCGGCACCATTACACTGAGTTTGTAGTTGCGCAATACTGCAGGGAAATTGCACAATCACAGTTTGGTGATGCCTGAAACCGCATGGTCTGGTGAGCCATGTATATTGATGTTTAGCTATGCCCCTGATACAATGACAAGTGCCCATAATAACAACATACTTAATTGTTTTACCCCGTTCTGAGTCGACAGCAAGTAGCATCATGCAAAAGTGGAGGTGTACAATTTTAGATGTTGATCTCCAGATTAGGCAAGAGTCGATAATGTTGATTGAGGCACTGGAAGAGCCTTGTGCTATTGGTTTCTGGAGCTGTTTCTTATTAGCTTGTGTCGATGGTTTCTCCTGAAACTTTATCTTGAGATTCGCTTGCTATGTAAGTGTGTGACTGATGACATTTGGCAAGTACGTAATTCTAAAAAAGCAATTGGCTGTTATCTTGTAGACAATGTACCTAGGCTGTGTGCCATGCATGCACATTCAGCACGAGTTTGACGTTTTGATAAGGAGGAAAAATACTTTAAAGTCAAGGCCTGGTACCCCTCTGATGACGTAAACTGCAGCTCCACGCTTTTGCGTTTTTAGTGCAGTGTGTCCGCAGTCATGTAACTTGCGCTCCTGCCTGACCTTTAAAGTCTTTTGTTCTTATGAACGAAGATTCACACTCCCTTTGGCCAGCCCGTGACACACAGCCTAGGTTTGCATCTGATTTTTCAAAGCAGTTTGCGGTTATTTTATTTTCATGAACTGTGTCTCATCCCAGAACCATCCCAGCAGAAGAGTGGCAGGTGAAAATGTGTTTGTTAGGCATAGCAGGCTCATGCTGGAGGTCTGTACGCAGCACCTTGTGCCGACGCTTTCCTCGTGTATCTGCATGCTGCCCTAACACTCTAACCCTGTGGGTCCCAACCTGTTGCCTGACGACCCTCCAAGGCAACCCCCCCTCCGTGTCGCCTTAACAGACGATTGAAGCAAGTGCTGTTAGTGAGCACCTATGAAGGCCGACACTGCACACGAGGGGGTGGGTGGCCAGCACCACTTCTGGATGTCCTTTGTCTTCCTAGTGGCAATGTTTACACACTGCACTAGGTACTCATTTAAGGCTGAGTCGACCTACGGGAGGCCCAGAACCGGTTCAGATATTCGTCACCGATGTTGTCCGCGAGCGGGAATCGAACTTGCGTCGCCGGGTTCGGCGTGCAGCCCGCGAACCGCTACGCCACCGTTCGCCACAGGACCAGCAGTGCTCGCACACGAACACACGCACGCACTTGCAGTCCCCTTACTGTGTCCACACAAGCGGTCACTTGTTCGCACATAACTGACTTCATCCTGGACGTTTTGACATCGCCTATCATGAGTGCCTAAGAGCGCACTCGCTGGCAATTACGTTTCATTATTTCGCGCTGCCCTCGGCCGTTAACATAGAGTGCACGTCTGTGTCCACGCCGCCCTGCCCTTACAGTGATCACACCGCTAATGCTTGAAATACCGCACTTGTACAAGCGCACGAAATCGTACTCGTGTACACAATGACACACCGCTTGATTGGCATAACCTCCCACACTTAGTGGAGTCTTTGTTGGCAACGAATCGAACAGTTGTTGGTTCTGGTCAGTTTGCTATTACTCTGCTTACATGTGTGCAAGCGTAAGGTTGGGAGCCACTGCTTGTTTAACCCGTTGCCGTGTGAAGTGATTCAGTGGAGTCGTGGTTCTCTGATTGCGTGGCTCTGAATGAAAGTGAGTTATAGCCCAAGCTGGCCGAGAAATGCCTGTTAAGTGGGCCTTTTTAATAATTAAGCGGTGTTGTCAGCGAGCTTCCACATAAAAGGTTCCCCAGTGTTAAAAGCTATTGCCCTGTGGCCTTCAACAAATGGGCCGTTCCACCTGTTCCAGTGTTCACCTGCAGGTGGTAACGATAGTGGTCATGGTAACCGCATTGCTGTGCATCATTGGTAATGATTGGACAAGAGCCCCTTTGCCCAAATCAGCATAATGGGCATGGGGATAAATATGCATCGAAGGAGCGCGTTTGGATGCAATGCTGCTTACATACGTATTACGGTGCCGTGAATACCCTCCTACTCGTATTAGCAAATGCAGCAGTGAATTATCATTATTATAAGCCAGTAAACACGTATGCCAATTATCCGAAGGTGATGTTAGCGATGATAGTCAAGCGTCTCTAACATATACCATCCGGTAATGATTTACCCATGTTGTGTGTAAAAAAAAAGTTCAGTTTTTTCAACTGCAAAGTTAAAACGGGTAAAGTCTTTGCAGAAAATATGTTTTGTTAAGCACGGCAATGCACAATTATTTAAATAACTAATTGTACACAGGCCGACAGCTTAATTAAACCAATTAATGTTAAGCAATATAAATGTGCTAAAAAGGCAACCACCTCTTCACTTATTGAGTCGCTTTGCTGTTGTGCTTTGTCTGTCCAGCTTTTTTGCCCCCATTTTTTTTTATCCGAATCCGCATTGGTATTTATTCCAATCACAGGGTCTTTCTAAATGTAGCTGATTATTGTTACGAATATAAATGCCTGAAGTGTTTAATCAAGCCTGATGTGCTTCTGTACGTCAGCCACTCGTCATTCTGGCTTGGGGTCAATTATGTCAGCGCTTCTAAGTGTCCCTCCTGTAATTGTTTATTAGCGACGAATAATAATGACCCAGATCACTGTTATAATTCAGTGGGCTCACATGACATTGATTTATCCAAGACAGAGGTTCTTTGCAAGCCATCTGGCTACCATGAGAGGTTCGTTCATGAGGCTATTCACATATACAAACACAGAGACAATTTCAACCGAGAAGATGGATTCTGGCTTAGCAATCATTGGAAGGATTTGATTAACCATTTCGGGTCTTAATTGATTGTGTTCACGCTTACGGTGACTTTCAGACCGCATTCCAACTGCCAAATCGCTGTCTGTGGTGCTGACGTTAGGACAAACCGCCACTTTTTTCAAATTTTCTTGCTGTGGATTTCACACCTCATGATGATTGCTTGTGTTGCAGTCGAAACGTCGTGAGAATTTTTATTGTTTTATATTTGTATTCTTTTATTATTTCCCTTCTACGTGACTTTACCAAAAGAACCAAGAATAGTGACCCAGTCGAGTGCTGGAGGGCACTGTGACATGAGGCTCTTCAACAGGACATCGTACCAAAGATCGGAATACTCTTGTGGACATTATGGATTGTATGTCAGTCTTCTGTGAAGTGGACACATGTTTTATGAAGCCCAACGTCAAACAGAAACTTTATTCCATTGCATCACAGTTAATATCAGTAATGTGAGTTGTAATCAAATTAGTATTATTTCCTGAGTTTGCAGGATCGCAAGTTATTATTAATCCTGATTTGAAGCTTTCGTGACTGCAGGAATCCATACTCTTTGGTTCTTTCGGTAAAGTCACGTAGGTAGAAATAAAATAAATTGCGACGTTTCGGTGCTTGTGTTGCGTTCGAAACGTCGTGATTTATTTTGTTCTACCTTCGTGACTTTACCGAAAGAACCAAAGAGTAAGTTATTATTATCCAAAGGCTGTTAACAAAATTTGGCATTGACATGTGAACTTCGTGTATAGATTATATGGGTATAATGATTGATTACTTCATGGGACCTCCTTTGCCAGTACCAAAATATGAGAAGATGTTTTCCCCTTTTTTCTGGCAACAAAACAGGTGTTGAGATGTTAAAACACCAAACTGAAAACTTTTACGATGAATCATGTCTGCATTAACCACAATACTTGTGGTTAGAATGCAAACAAAAAACATACTCTGATAGTATATGCATTGTCCTTGAAACTGATTGGTCCACACCAGAGACAGCTTTATTTTGAGCCTCGTCTCAAACGGTGTTAGACCAGAGGACGCCAAAATGCGTACGTGATTGATTACTATTGATACTAAACCTTACGACACGTGCATACATTTTCATTGGGAAAAATCGCATTTGGAAAAATCGATGTTTTTCTATTTGCGTACATGGTGTGAAGTTTCCAGTTGTATCCCTCTCAACATTTGTTTTCAGATGCTTAAAACGTCTACATATATCTGCTTATTCCTGTCTCATATATATACGGAGGGCAGTTATTGAAGGTGAATTGCGATAAAAATGATGTAATGAAGATGTAGAACAAGAAGAGCCGGGGGGGGGTAGGGGTGCTTAGGTGGCCTTTATCCAGCAGTGGATAGATAATGGTTGATGATGATTTATAATATGGGTTAAAATAGTTTTAAGGTTGCCATATTCACAACAACATGAATAAATAAAACATCTTCAATGGAATTACGACAACATCGCAAACGTGCATTGAATTATTAGGCGTGCAAGTGCACACCGTGAAGGCGTAAAACAGGTAGAGTTATTAAAAGGTTACATTTGTTATTAGATTTTTTGAAAGACCCTGCAGGTACTTGCCATGTTACAAGTCTGACACCTTTATACAAGGGATCGTGTTTGCAATAACCACAACACAAGCAGTCAAAATGCAAACAAAAAGAAACAACGCTGATAATGATAATGATATGCACTGTCCTTGAAGTTGATTGGTCCACACCCGAGACAGCGTTTCTTAGAGCCTAGTCTCCATTGGTGTTGGACCAGATGACGCCAAAAGGCGTACAACTCAAAAAACAGCGCACTATCAGAGTATTGAGAGCTCGGGGTAAGCATTTACACTGTGTGGACCAATCAACTTCAAGGACAGTGCATATCAGTATCAGAGTTGTTTCTTTTTGTTTGCATTTTGACTGCTTGTGTTGTGGTTATTGCAAACATGATCCCTTGTATAAAGGTGTCAGTTTTGTACTAGTTGAAAGGGTAAAAACCTACTACTATATTTTGCCACTGGTAAAGGAGGTCTCATAATGTTACAAGTCATTAAAGGTACGCTATGCTGCTCGGTGTTGACGCAGCAAGCTTAAGCAACTAATTTGGTATTTAAAAAAAAATGCATAAAATGCTTCATCGGGGCATTCGATCATTTCCTAACAGAAACGTTTCACGTGTCCAGAGCGGCTGTGCTATTAACTCTGCTACTTGTTGAACTTGCGGTGATGTGGATTTTGTTGAATATTAATGGTGTGCTTAGCGTGTGGAACAAATAGCTTCAAGGGTATAAGGTGGTGCCCCTGTGGCGACGTTAACTACTTCACCTGGTGTACAGGAGGTCGTGGGTTCAATCCCGACCCTGGCACCTGTATATTTGGAGTTTGCGTGTTCTCCCCGTGATCGTGTGGATTTTTCCCATGGTCCTCCAGTTTTTCCTTCCACAGTTATAATCAACATGCATTTAGAGTATTTGGCTGCTATAAATTACAACGTGATAAGCCACTTTGTTGAGCTATCATTTGTGGCCAGGTCGCTTCTGAAAAATAGCAATATAGCTCCGTGGGCCTTACCTGGTAAAATAAAAAAATTGTTTAGTTTGTATTGCGAAAAGGCATGTGTTTGTTGCTGCTAATTGTGAACTCTCCCACCATTCTCCCCTCACACACACATACACTACTTCTAAATGTCTGCCTCCTTATGTGCGCACACAAACCCTGTACACACACTCATCGTGTCCACACTTTTATCCACTCAATCTTGTGTACATTACACGGAACGTCATGCTCCTCACACACACTATCCGGCGAACATTGATTGTCCTGCATACACGTGTACGCATTCACTCCCTCCTGTATGACACACTCGTGTACATGCATGGATGCTTCCTCCTGTATAACACACTCATCCCACACACACGTGAACATGCATGCACCCTCCTTCCTGCATAACACACACCCATCATCCCGCGCACACATGTGTACACGCATACGCTCTCCGTCCTACATAACGCACGCACCCACAAGGGCCTCGACGAGAAGCCGGAGCACGCCGTGCGGCACCAGGCCAACCTGGCGGAGCTCAAGCGCTCTTTCCTGGGCGCCCCGCAGACTGCGGACGCCGACTGGAACAAGCGATTCTCCGGCGAGGGCGGAGTCCCCGCCACGGCTGGCCCAGCCGCCAAACAGTCCAACGCTGACACCGCACCACCGGGTGGGGGTCCGCTCGCCAACGGCACTGAGGACAAGCCGGAGCAGGTGGGCGTTGCTCTTGCGTGGCGCGTTTCACTGATGGCGCCGTCCCAGTGTGGTGTCCCCCCCCTCGCCTTTGCCCCGATTTACGTACCTCAAGCATCTTGGTCGGAGACGTGTGAGTTTGCCATTCGTAGCAGAGTTTTTGCGGATTGAGCCTAGCTGCTGCCTTTGTTAATTCTTTCGCGTTCTGATTTTTTTCTTCCAATTCCTTTTCGATACGTGTACATCATCAAAAAAAAAACTAATTTTATCAGTACCGAGACTCCCACATGGCCACGTGGGAGTGCGTGTGGTACAGTTTGGCGCCAGCTATGGTAGTTGCGGTCCTGTCGCTACAGTTCTCTGCGGTGAGTGCAATGTCTTTTAAAAACAATGGCGCTACGCCTCTAAATAAAATTTACCCTAACCAATTGTGGGTTCCGAGATTCAGAGGTGAACGGGACCCACCCTGCAACTTGCAGACGTCTCTGAACTGAAAAGGGTTAACTCTGCAGGTGTATCAACCACGCACTGGACCTTAAGGAGTGTGTGATGTCATGAGCAAGAGCAGGCCGTCGTGCACCGTTGTCTCGGTCCAAAGTTGCCATATTCTCAAAATTACTCAATTGGAACTTACATAGCAATCATTGCCCTCTCCTGTGAAAACTTGGTAGTACCCTACTCTTTGGTTCTTTCGGTAAAGTCACGTAGGTATAAAAATAAAATAAATCACGACGTTTCGGGTGCAACACAAGCGTCCGTCATCAGGTGGGAAAGCATGGCCTGCTGCTGATGCAGACTGTTTTAAAGGTTTGAAATGGGTGTAGCCCATGGGTGTAGCCCATGCCTACGTGACTTTACCGAAATAACCAAAGAGTGGATTCCTGCAGTCACGAAAGCTTCAAATCAAGATTGGTAGTACTCTCTTTAAAAAGTCTCGAGACTCGGTGAGGCCTTGCTTGGTAAATGAGTGTAATAAGATAATATGCTATTACAGAATTAATGTGCTTTCTTTTTTCAGAAATTGCCCTTAAAGTCTCTTACGCTTAATGTTTGTATCTATATGTGTCCACGCATTGTGTTTGTGGGTGTGCATGTGGCTGTGTGTGTGTTTCTAAGGTCCTATCTGTTTGAGGAGTTCACACATCCTTTAAAAATCTGGACACATTCCCATCAGTGAGCTCCACTGGTGGGCAAGGCTGCGTTGGCTCGGTCATGTAGCACGCATGCCCAGCCACCGCATGCCCAAGCAGCTTCTATTTGGCCAGATATAGGAAGCTAAATAGGCATGGCATGGGCTGGAGAAGATATGGACTGATGCAATATTCGAGTATGTGGAGCTGGTGCCCAAGACCAGTGGTGTCAAGAAAGGCCTCTATGAGAGGGGTATTGTGAAGGACGCCACTGGGCAGTTGGAGGCAGTCTCCCTCCAACAGCAGCAGGAGGGCAGAGTAGCGACGCTCACAACAAAGAGTGGAGCATCGGGCAGCTGAAATGCAGCAAGTTGGCTCAGTTGGGGGCACAGGTTGTGCATCTGCCAGTCATCTGTCAACCCATGGCCATCTGGGTTTGTCCCGTGACCTGTCAGCTAGCCTTCGACACTTCACATGGCCTCGGAGTGTACCTGGCCTGAAACAAGCGCCGTGGTGATGTCACCAGCACTGAGTGACGAATGGCGGCTGTTTTTGTTGTTTGTCTGCGTACGTGCATGTGGTGGGTAGCGGTAGTGCAGCGATTAGCGTGCTGCGCAACAAACCTGGCGACCCAAGTTGGATTCTCGCTCACGGTCAACACCAGTGACGATTATCTCAAGCGGTCCTGGGCTTCCCCTTGGTCATTTCGGCCTCAAATGAGTACCTGGTGCGATTTGTAACTATCGGCACGAGGGAGACAAAGGCGGACAGGTGTGGTGCTGTCCACCCACCCCCTTCGTGTGCAGTGCCGGCTTTCATGTGCTCACTAAATGCACTTTCCCCGACATTCTGTTTAAGCTTTACCGGGGGGTGGGGGGGGTCTTTGTGCGTGCACTCACACCCATTCCCACGTTTGTTGCACGCAGCCGCCTGTGGTTCAGACTGAGACCATGAGCTTCAACTCGGCCTCCCCGGCCTCCGGTACGGAGATTACCACCCGCCATGTGCCGATTGTCGCCACGGAAACGAAGACTATCACCTACGAGGCTCCACAGGTACCTGCTCGCACCATCTTATCACCTACCCTCCTCGTACCCATCCTTGCGCAGTTACCTGCTCACACCTTCCACCATCTGTCCTCGTACCCATCCTGCACCCCCACCACAAACAGTGAGGATTTGTTAGAGCCGCCGCTCTTGATCAACCGCTATTTTGGTTGAAAGGTTCCACGCTGCAGCGATAAGTGCGATGCCTGCACGCGTTGTCATGTCGTGTTTATAATAGCGGCACAGACACCGATGCTCTGTCTCATGACTACATGTGCTCGGTATATTGAGAAATGGTTTATCTTTGAAGTGCAGGAATATCCCCCACTTTTATATGTGAGGGATGCGTTCCTGGGAAATGCTACTGAACTCGAAATTGCCAAAAGAGAACTCTAATTTTACATAGACATAATGTTCCTAGCTGACATTTATGGGAAAAAATGCGAGGCTAAATGTCATGAAGTGTACAAAAATGCATTTTATATTACAGAGTGGTCCGTTTTCGGCACGTGCATTCCTCGTTTAAGAATATTCTTTGGGTCTTTCGGTAAAGTCACGTAGATAGGTTCAAAGAAAATAACAAAAAAACTACGACATTTCGATCACAACACAAGCGATGCCTCCTGATGACGATCCCTTCTGTTGTAATCGAAACATCGTAGTTTTCTTTTTTCTTTTCTTTGAACCTATCTGCTTGACTTTACCGAAAGACCCAGAGAATATGAATTCCTGCAGTCACGAAAGCTTTAAGTCGAGATTTAGTTTAAGAATGCCGCATATATCTGTAAAAGAACGATTGTGTGTAATATCACACTTGTAAGAATTTTTTTCCTAATTAATCGGCAATGTATATAAAAAATAACGCATAACGTGGCACCTTATAGCGGTGGATTCCTGCTTTTGATTGGCTGATGCGATACATACTCGGCCTCCAGAGGTGGTGCAAGGTCGGTCATCATCTGCTCTACTTTCACAGCACTCCTTAGTGTGCCGATGTAATATCCAAATCTATAACCAGTATTGAGGTGAATGGTTTGTTCCCATAATGCAAAATTTACATGGGATTCACATTAAGAAATGGGAAGATTAGTTGATTATTCAACTCAAGTCCTCTCCGATTTTCTCAAGAGGGGGAAGAAAAGAGCAAGAAACTAATTACAGATTGTCTGCAAGGTCAATGCGATGTTTATAGTGGATGTATGCATAATAAATGTCAGAAATTCCCACGTCTGCAGTATCGCATCAGGGGTACAAATGCTGGCACGTGATTATGTGTATGTTCGTGCATCTGTGATTTGTGAGGAACGGTAGTGTCGCGGTTAGCGCGCTGCGCTACGAACTCAGCGATCCGAGTTCGATTCCCGCTCACGGCCAACACCGGTGACGATTATCTGGACCGGTTCTGGGCCTCCCCTGGGTCGATTCAGCCTCAAATGAGTACCTGGTGCGATTGTCTACCATGTGTAAACATCGCCACTCGGGAGACAAATATTTGTGATGTTGCCTGGCCACCCCCTCGTGTGTCATGCCGGCCTTCATAGGTGCTCGCGAACAGCACTTTCCCGAAAAGTCTGTTAAAGCTACAGGGGGGGGGGGATCTATCTGTCTCTTTTGTGCGCAGGATATTGTTGAAAATGATGGGAAGCCAGGGCTGCTGATGAGTGCACAGACCATCACGTCCGAGACCTCCAGCTCCACAATGACTACACACATCACCAAGGTAGGGGTGTCTGATATCCATTCGCAAAGGCTATGGGAACTTGATTTCAACAACAGTTTCGATTTAAAGCTTTCGTGACTGCAGGGATTCATCTTCTTGGTTCTTTCGGTAAAGTCGCGTAGAAGGGAAGTAATAAAATAATAAAAATAAAGCATAATAAAATAATTCTCACGACGTTTCGGCCACAACGCAAGCAGCCGTCCTCTTCACCTGAGGACGGCTGCTTGCGTTGTGGTCGAAACGTCGTGAGAATTATTTTATTATGTTTTATTTTTATTATTTTATTACTTCCCTTCTACGTGAATTTACCGAAAGAACCAAGCAGATTCAACAACAGTCGTTTAAAATACTCCATCGGTATTTATTTTAAGCGAAGACAACATGTTTGGTACACTCTTCAAACACTGTAAATGTTTGCTACGTGCCATGTGCTGTTACCTCCGGGTAACAATAACACGAGTTGTTAGTCTTTGGCTGCTTGGAACCGTGCTACATGGGCCGATATGAAATACTGTATTCTGCTCCCCTAAAACGTAAAGTAAGATCCAGTTCGTGAAATAAATTGCTTGCGTAGGTACGACCTGCGATGTGTGGCTGACGCAGTATTTGAAAACCTTGTTAATGAGCTTTTTAAAGCTCCACTCAGGTGGGCCGTCATAGTGATGACGATGTGACAGCACTCGTACATATTAATACTTTGACCCAGTGGTGATGTCACGAGAGCCATTGCGAGAGCTTGCTGGTGACATTGCAGTGGTGTCACAGTTAATTTTAGTTTCAATATCACGACAATCACGTTACTTGCGCTCCTGCCCGGCTGAAAGTCAGTTTTTCCCCGTTTCACAAGGTTTTGGACTCTTGTTAGACAGCCTAGGGTACACAATGCAAGTACAAATATACAACATAAGAGATATTTGATTAAAGTTTGTGACCCGCCCCTTCTAGACATCTGTGAAAAAGAGTTTTTTCGCTCCAGGATATAATATAAAGATTATGATTCGAAACTAAAATTTTCTCAATCTTCCCATAGCAGAAGCCTCTGATCATTTATCCACCGGTCCCCTGCCTTATATTCTAGATTTGAAGCTTTCGTGACTGCAAGGATTCATATTCTTAGGTTTTTTCGGTAAAGTCACGCAGGTAAAAAATTAAAATTTATAAAAAATAAAATAAAAATCACTACGTTTCGGAGGCAACACAAGCTTCCGCCTTCAGGTGGAACCGTCACAGCACGATAGCTGTATCAAGTGAGATACAGCTATTTTACTTTTATTAATTTAAATTTTTGTACCTACGTGACTTTACCGAAAAAAACCTAAGAATATGAATCCCTGCCTTATATTTCCCCCAGTCTACAAAACACATTCCCACCAATGGCTCTCGCACAGAACCGCTCCCCGTAACCGGGACGAGATGGTCCATGTATATTGTTGGGTGAATTCAGGGAGATAGAAACATACTCTGAGCCTGTCGACAGAGCTGCCCCCCGTGGTGGTGCCGTGCACAGTGCATTGGCTAAGCGACACACAACCACCTGAGGGCGCTGTTGCACCGGCGGTGACAGCTTACTTTGATCTTCTTGGTTCTTTCGGTAAAGTCACGTAGAAGGGAAATAATAAAATAATAAAAATAAAACATAATAAAATAATTCTCACGACGTTTCGGCCACAACGCAAGCAGCCGTCCTCGGGTCATTCAGATGCTGTCTCCCCGACAGACCTGTTCTTCACCTGAGGACGGCTGCTTGCGTTGTGGCCGAAACGTCGTGAGAATTTTTTATAATGTTTTATTTTTATTATTTTATTATTTCCCTTCTACGTGACTTTACCGAAAGAACCAAGAAGATGAATCCATGCAGTCACGAAAGCTTTAAATCGAAGCTTAATTTGACATAACAGAACTGCACTGCGATTATATGCATTGAAATATTGTATTTTGCAATTAATGGCTTTACAAACTGGTGTAACAAAACAAAAAATCTACAATATTTGTTCTTAAAAACACGACGCTGCGCGTTGCAATGCCTTTGTACGTCTGCAAAGGTGTCTGCTCGGCGGGTAGCAATTCGCCTCGCTGAAATTATTGGACGAATTGTCATGGCTCAAGGTCTCAATTCAATAATGGGTGTTTTGCCGTTGTTTGTTCCATGTGGCATTTCTAGTGGCTGCAGGGTGAACGTGGGCCAATGACACATGATGGACACGTTGCAAATAAAACAAAATTCGCCTCCTTGTTGCGGCATGAATTAACCCGTCCTGTGGAATTAATGTGCGTCCATCCTATCGCCTATCTGTGCCTTCTCCCAATTGCTTGTCCTGTTGTTTCTTCATCCCTCTGTTATTTTGGCCACGCTGACTGTGTGTCTTACTCTTTTCACTATTACGTGTAAAGTTTTATCAACCTTCCCACCCTCTTAGTGTTCCGTTGAATTCACCTGGCTACACTTGAGTGTCAAGTGGCCACCTATGGCAGGGCATTTGACTCGCAATCGGAAAAGCGGCGATTTAAATCCATGCTCGTTCCACCTGGCCGATTAAGAACTCCAGCATCGGGCATAAAATAAAGAACCAACGTGTGAGAAGCTAGTCAGTACCGTCGTGTATAAACCGACTCCCGCCATGCGAATGTGGAATTTCCCACCGCTTGCAGGAGAGAACCACGTTGCCAAGGCTTGCTCGAGCAGGGAGACTTTGACTTGGCGTACGATCAACGATTCGCACATTTATTAAATTTCAAACCCATAGCAACATCGCCCCCCTACCTGCAGACAAATGCCCGTTTCAGAATAGTACCACGTTTTTCACCTTATGTTGCACAGCAACGTCTGTCACTGGGGGTCCCATTGGTGAGACTAGCAGGGCATTGACGCGGTTGAGACGATGGTGCCTTTTTATCAATCAAAGCCTTATCCCTAAGTGCATTGTGTTTGTGCTCACAAGAACGCGTGTGTCGGTACGGACAGCTTCGGTGTCCAAAGCGTTGATGCGCCGCCGTGTGCCCGTGCAGACTGTGAAAGACGGCATCTCAGAGACGCGCATCGAGAAGAGAATTGTGATCAGCGGCGACTCGGACCTTGACCACGACCAGGTAACATGCCATTTGAACTTGAGATACCAAGGTGGCTGGGCTGAGTGCTGGTTTTGCTGCCTTTTAATGGACTTAATAACTTGTTTCTAACAGCAATTGTTTTTGTGTCTAGAGGTTGTTATTGCCATGTGTTTATACTCGCAGCATTTGACCCCATTGTCCGTAAGGCTAACTGGTGAATCTTTGCCTTTGTGTGTGGCCTTGGGGAATAGGCCTTAGCCCAAGCAATCAAGGAGGCCAAAGAGCAGCATCCAGACATGGCAGTGACTCGCGTCGTCGTGCACAAAGAGACGGAGGTTCTGGCCACCGCTGACCACGAGTGAACCACACCGGACACGTACGAACCATCGTACGTTGTGCATGTGAACACCACCCACCGTCTCACCCTGTGAACCGCGCATGCCCCGCTACGCCGAATACTTGCACACATCCGTGCGATGGTGCACGCAACCACGATGTGTGATGCACGCTCCGAAACGCCACGCCATTCCTCAAACTCGGCATTCATTGGATGAGATCGATTCTTGCGCTCGCAATGCATGCGTGCGATTGGTTGCGCAAGTAAAACTTTTTTTTTAGCTCTGGAAATGTTTACTTATGCATCGTGGAATGAATGAAATGGAACAAAACAAAAATTGCAATGAGGGACAAGGTGGAGAGAAGTAACAGATGAAACCAGACTACACATGAATGAAATGCCCCCTTATGCCTCGGATTTCAAGACGAGGAAAATGTATTTGAATTGGTCAAACATTTTTGCAGCCTTCCAAACTCTTACAAACTGATGCCTAAATAAAAAAAGATTTAGAAATCATGAAAGCCATATACCAAAATGTTATAGCTACTCAAATTACATGAGGAAAGCAACACCTTAAATAGGCCTCTTTAACCCACCTAGAACCACATGCCCAGGAGAAACCACACACACACACACAATCCCTGCCCCACATGGCAAAAGCCACTCATTCCAATATTTCGCTGTATATCTCAAACAAAAACAGCACATCCTAACATTGCCGTGAACCACATAGGCCAGGGGTCGGCAACCTACGGCTCCGGAGCCGCATGCGGCTCTTTACGGGCTGCTTCTTGACGATATGTACGTATGTACAGTATGTACTCAGATGCATTGCGGCTCTTGAAATACTGAATTTTGTACCGAATTGGAAAGAAATGGCTCTTCTTGTTATTTTGGTTGCCGACCCCTGACATAGGCCATCCTTGAATTACAGTCAATTCACGCGCTTAAATTGGATGGTTCATTACACCACATCCACGTTCGCTGGTTATTGTACACACGTGAAAAGTGATTTCTTCTTCTTGTGTCCACAGGCAGACATGGGAAAGTGTGGCTTGTACTGAACAAACCTCGCTCGTCTGCAGCTTGCAGAGGTGCTTGAGGAGCGTACAGAACAAACCCGGATGGGTTGTCCTTTTTTTTATTCCTTAATATATTACATCGTCATGATCCCGCCACCGATAGTGACAGCCACGGGGGAGGGGATAAGCACCTTGTGAACGCAAAGCCAAGAGAGCAACAACTCCGATGCAAGCTTGCACACGCAGTCAGCCAGGGGCATAACTTACTCGGTGATTCAGGTGAAAACACCCGCCCATGTAAAGTCGACGGAACGTTTTTTACTCTCAGATTAATGTGCACTTAACGTTGAAAAATTTGGACACGTTTGAAGTTAAACGTAAACAGTTATTGGGGGACAAATGGCACTTGCAATATCTTTGTGTAAACTTGACAGACTCCCTTGACTGGATTTTCCATTTTGGAGACATATTTAAGTTAAATATATGGGTGTCGCACAGTGCGAGTCTCCGTGCCGAAAATGGAAAATGCTTCGAGGCAAATTTCAGTAAGTGAACACAGATCTGTGAATTTCGAGGAAAGTTGTCCAAAAAAACACCAGAGGCAGGCCTATATGAGGACTCTCAATCAGTTTGTTTTCGATAATGAACAAGGTCACAAAATCTGTCAGTGGCCCAACTAAATCACTAAACTCTGTTAAAGTTTGTGACCTTTACAGTTTCCCACATCCTGGATAATTCGCCATCCCTACAAGTCTCAAGTATGAGCTTCAGCGGGGGGGGGGGGGTGGTGGTGGTGGGGGCGTTCCAGCATTAAATGTTTTCAGTCGTTTATTCCCGGAACGTTTCGATTATTTTCGCGTAGACGCAAGTCCACCATGTTACCAAGTGTGGTAGTTTACTGCAGTTAACTTCCCCCCCCCCCCTCCAGCCTTCTTCAGTAATGGATGGAAAAACTTTCATTTTAACCCCGCGCACACATCTGTTTTATGTCGGTAGTGCCAATAGCATGGGAAGCGCACTAGAGATGTTATGATGACTAGTTTTTTTTTTATAACACATTCTGAAGTGCATTTCCTTCGTGAATTTGCACTCATTCTGTCTTGGTTTTTTTTGTGCTACCTATTTATGTCTAAGTTGGTAAATGTTTTTTTAAAACTGCACATTTTAAACCTGTGATGAAGACTAACTTACTTTCGTTGTACAACTTATGTATTTTTCTTTTTGTACTTTGTGTTTTCTCTTGAGACGTGAACAAAGACTGTTCCTTTCACCAGAATTGACAATTCCCACAGTAGCATCGGTGTGTCTTGCCAGACTCTGACATCTTGTGAAGTTGAATCTTATACATGTAAAATGTTACAGCTGCAAGCCAGGAATTTGCACCTGTTAAAAAGAATAAAAGCGGAATTTAAAAAAAACATTCAGTTGTGTTCATGCGTGTGAACTTTCATTACATGTCTTATTGCATATCTGCATGTCATTTTCTAAATCATCGATTCGTTTTCTTGGTTCTTTCGGTAAAGTCACGTAGAAGGAAAATAATAAAAGAATAAAAATAAAACAATAAATAATTCTCACGACGTTTCGGCCACAACGCAAGCAGCCGTCTTCAGGTGGAGAACAGGTCTGTCGAGAAGGCAGAGTCTGAATGGCACGCCCCAGGCTTGGAGCGACTATTTATGCTGGGATGGAGGGGCGAAGAGCGTCGATTCGTTGTCATCAACTAGCTTTATATTCCTTAAAGAAACAATGAAAAGTGATGGGTGGACTGACCTCGCTTAAGTGTTGTGCTGCTGAGGGATACTACAGTATCAAACAAATGTGTGACGCATGAGATGTTAGGTAAATGCACAAAGACCACCATTAATGAAAGACGTTTGGAGGACCTGTTTTAAATTTGTATTTTCACAACTGCTTTAATCGGTTACGGTATATACTTTCTTGGGCCCTCTTTCATCATTGACGGATTATTCTGGTTAACATTGCAACATTGCTTCCACTTGAAGCACGTGTGTGTGTGTGCACTTGCAGCCACACAGTGCTTTGTGCACCGCAACGCATTGCCGGTCAAATCTCGTTTCAAACTTTCTGGCCTTGCACCAACACCGCTGGCAGTCGGTGTCTGATCCTGGCCCGAGTCGCCTCGAGGTCTGCTCTGCTTAAAATGAATACCTAGTGGGGTGGGAGGGTGGGAGGGTGTGTGAACATTAGCACTGGAGAGACAGGTGGCCGGTCATAACCACAATACACTACATTATCGCCTCGAGTAGTACCATGCTGGCTTCAATTGGTGCTCGCTAACAGCCCTTGTCCCAATGGTCTACAATGATGAATAGGTAGGATCTGTGTATGGGCATTGGCAATGCAGCAAGCGTACAAGATTAATTATTATGGAACGCAACCATTTTATATTGGTATAACTCCTCCAAAGGCCAAAACTTCCTTCCCCACTTGTACAACTCAATACGCCTCTGCGCTCCGTATAACATTTCTGAAGCCCTGCTGCTGCTGCTGCTTAATACACCGCTCCGCAGTGATAACGTCCACACTTGTTGCTGTCGGTCAGTTACATTTAATGGGGGGGGGGGACTTTGGACTGCTATTGTTTTTCCACATGCGTTGATTTATTTGGAGCGGCTGGATGGGCTCGTGGCCCTTGAGCCAGTGGGGTATGGGTTTGGTTCCACTTAGTCCTGGCACAATGATGTGTTGTGCGTGGGTTATTAGATATCCCAGAGCAATATCGCTGAAGTTTTAAACGTCAAAACATTTCATTTTTACATTTAGAAGATTTTTTCAACATCCGGTTTATTTCTGCGAACCGCAGAATGTGTGTCCTTAACAAGTTGTGAAATGTGGGATCCATTTCCGGCTTCACAATTATCAAATGGGGGGGAAATGTTAACTCTTAGAATTTATACATGTCTGTTTACACATTGCCAAAATACGAATTTTAAGTTGTATGTAAAATGTGTTCAAGGCCAGCAATGTTTTTTTTTTGCACTTAAAACCCCTCGCATGCACTCTCATTTGCGTCAGATATTTCATGAAAAGGGGCAAAAACAACTGTGTTTCCGCCAGACTTTTCAAAAGTATGTAGCAATGTTCAGCATTCAAGTGCATATTATTCAGCAGCTGCGTGTGGATGTAGGCAAGCCCAAGATATCTCTCAAGTTAATGTTGTGCACATCGTGCAGAGTGTGTATGGGAACAGGAAAGCATCGAGTGTTCCCTGAATGATGACACATGTTTCCGAATGTTTGGGTATTCGTTATTTGCTCAGTTTTTTTGGTACTATGCTTGCTACGCACTTTATTTAGTCTCATTTCTCTGCGTACGTGTATAGGAATGGGGTTGTCTGTCTATGGGCTGGTATACTTAATTCTCCTTCACCCTCGCACGCACACAATTGGTACATCGATTTGACTAGAATCACATTTTTCACACGCGTAACATTTTGCGGACATATATGACGTTACTCTTGAGGTGCATGGAGCCAGGAGATGGAGGTGGGCATTGAAGAAAGAATTGGTCAATTTAAGAATGGTGAACAATAATAAAAAAAAAGAGGTGGGCCCTTTAAGAACGAGGTGGGGTCTTTAAGTGTCTCTTATAAGCCAGTGTGGACTGAATGCGGCTGCTGCTGCTGTGAATTTTGCTGCAGTTGCAGCGGTGGTGGTGGTGGCCGCGTTCCAGACGGCGGGAGCTGTCAACGTCGAGACGACGCCCGGCCAGTGGCCATGGTCTCCTGCTCCTCGGTGTAGAGAACAGCAGCAGCAGGAGGAGGAGGAGGAAGAGGTTGCGAGTGTGGAGTTTGTTTTCTTTCCGTGAGCTGCTGCAGAGCGGGGTGACGAAAGCATTTGTAGAGCATTTTGCTGTCGTTTTTGAGACAATCCGACCCAAAATTGCGTGGTTTTTTTTTCGTTTCAAAATTCAGCCCGATAGATTTGCCAACTTGTTTATTTGGGTCTCGATGAAAGCGGTTTTATTTTTATAGGCGTAACCCCACGATTAGCACGGTTGGCTTCGTACGGAGCGAAATAAGTTAAACATACTGTGAACATGCTATTGGTGGTAGTTGTGTCAGCATCTGTGCTTTAGCCATGAAAAAAAAACGAGCAGTTTGAGAGGTGGGGTTTCCGCCTATAAAAATGAAACGTGTTTGGCTAAGAAATCTAGACCGATGGAGGCGGTGTTGACGGTTCGATTTGAATAAACTCTGCAACAACATTTCTTCGTGTATTTAAAAATATGTTTTCCCATAAATGTTTGACGACTACAACCAGAACAGACCAGAACAGCGCTGCGCTGCAATGTGGCTTCATCTCGTGTCTTATGCAACCGCATTTCAAGACGCTGTACAGAATGGCATGTTTTGGGCATCTGGGGGACATGAGGCTTTCTTTTAATAAAGACGGAGACGCTCGTAGGCAGAGGAGAAGATGGAGATTTCGAATGTGAAATTCAACAGTGTTGATGCTTTTGGTGTCTTTTTCAATAATAACGCGATTACATGCGAGTGCGTGTACCTAACGTTCAGTCACTTAGTGACCGCGTCTCGTGGGTATGCACGTACAATACATGGATGTATAAATCATCCGAGTGTTAATGTGTGTTTGGGCTGTAATTGTATCCCACTAAACACAAGCGATGTGGTGTAAACTATGAAGTGGAGGTGGCGTCAGATGTACAGTTTATTCCAAGTGTGGAAAATAATGGACCTAATGGCACGCAGTGGAATACCCGTGTCCCGCAGGGAGCGTTTCCCCTCTCCCTAATGAGTATTGGAAGTTGCTCCTGAAACGCTGATGTTTCATCGGCACATGTGGCAGCATAAATCGGCACGCTGATCCCGGGCTATCGAGTTTCCTCCCGCACGAGATGGGAGCCCGCGTTGCCACGTCCGCGCACACTTTCACCTCGTGTGTGTTTTTTTTTTCATCTTACAACTCGATCCTTCATGGGGCCAATTCCCGTGTTAGTGGAGAGACCGCTTTCGTCTGAATTTTTTTTGGTTCGATAATGGCCAAGTTGCTGTTACTTTTTTGTGCCAATTTTGCAGATTACAGTAAAACAACCTTGATTTGCGAGCATAATTCGTTCCGGAAACGTGTTTGTAATCCAAAGCAATCGTATATCAAAGCACTCGTATATCAGTTGTGATCACGTGACGCTCGGCAGACAAAGCGTATACGTACTACTCGTATTGCAAAACCTCGCTCGTTTATCAAATTAATATTTATTTAAAAAAATTGCTCGTCTTGCAAAACACTCGCAGACCAAGTTACTCGCAATCCAAGGTTTTACTGTATTTCACTGAACATTGACGAAGTGGGGGGGGGGGGGGGATAAAACATTGACGGCTACGTAGTTTGAAGGCAGTGAGTGGGTGGGTGTATCCTGCGATTCGGACAAAATGCAGTTGAATGGCAAAATCGCTTACAGTTGAATCTCTAATAATTGCTCTTCCGGGGCCGTACAAATCAAAATAAATGTCTAAGTTTTTTTTTGCCAATTCATATATTCATCAGCTGAGGGCCCATTGAGATGGACAGTCTCCAATCGTAAGAGATATTTGGGATCACAAAACGGTGCACTGCGCTTGTGAACTAGGGTACGGGTCGTGTTGGCAGTCGAGAGGAGTGAGGGAGGGCAAGGTGCGGAGGCGAGGTAACGGGAGGCAAGAGAGCCAGAAGATATAATTGAGTGTTCCTGAAAGAGTTGAACAGGTGAATGCGAAGTGTGGCTCGGACTAATTCTACTTTGGTCTCGTTCAAGATGCGTGTCGCGCTTTGAACTTGAACCAAAAGTCGCACAAGGATGACCAATTAACCTGGCTTTTATACGAATTTTTTTATTTTATTTATAGTGGTTAGGACCCACCAAGATTTTTGCTCAAAGTGATTTCTGTTTTATTTTCACCAGGACATTGTTGGTTCCTTTATTTTTGCCCCAGACCAGTTAATTCTGACCTTCATAGAAATCAAATGGCAGGGTTTTTTGTGCAAAATAATTCAAATCTGCTAGTCCAGTAATAACCGTTATTACGGCAACGTAAACATACATCGTTATATTTATTGTATCATAAATAACTAACAATTATGCTTATAATTGGGGTGAAGATTAAAGCATCATTTTTTTGTCCCAATTTTTTTTGTTTATTCCTGATATGTTAACTTATTGTAAACACTGATGCCATCAAAGCTGTACAATACAAATTGCTTACAATTAACGTTTTTGGCTATGCCTTCAGTGGTTTTTCATAAAACAATGCAAATATCATTATCTGAGTTTTTTTTTTTTTACTGGGTGAAATGTTAACGCTTGGGTTCACCTAAAATAAAAGCTTGGAGAGGCCATTCCAAATACGTTCTAATTGTTAGGGCTAACATCGTGAAGATGCTGCGTCTGGAGTTGGCCTGTATCTCGCTGAA